TTTTCTTTTGCATTCGATAATTATGAGGCTCTACTTGGTTGCTTTTTTAATTGCTTTTCAAATTGGTTTTAGTGTTTCCGAAAGTGTCCATTGGCGTAAGTCTTTTCAAAATTTTAAATGTCTGTACAATATCACTGAAATTACCTTGAAAATTCATGAAAATTTCAGCTGTATTATCACAAATTTTTCTTTTTTTTTTTCACTGATATAATTGACTAAATGATTTCTTGATTTATTGGTTACAATATAACTGTGTCGATGAATAACGATGACTTTTAATTAACAGAATGGCGTGATCTGAAATGTGAGACTAGAAATGGTCGAGGTCCAGATAAGTTGAGCCAAGAACCAGCTGAATGTAACCTCTTTCTGCGTGAAAACGACGAACCTGGTTCACAGGAGAAAAGAAGAGCTGCACCTGGCAATAATGCTGGTTGTTTCGACGTAAGTCATTTAGTTTTTAAATGTCAAACATCTAGTTATTAGTGGTTTCTCTTTTTTTTTTTTTGTCTTCGATGCAATTACTATTCATTATGATTCTTGTCAAATAATAATTACTGTGTCTTCTAGGAAAACGTTAATGGTACAGTACGGACCTATTGTAATCTTCTGTGTCCAAAAGCAGATACAGTTTATCTAATCAGTCGTGAACCTAAAGTTCATCGTTCCTGTTTTGTTTTCTACACACATCGGTTGGAACGAAGAGGAGACGACTGGTATTTATGGCGCGATAAGGTAATATTTATGATGACAACTCAGTATTTCAATTGTTCTACTTTTATATCAGCATAACATGAATAACTTTATCTACTAATAACTCGTCAGTCATTTAAACTAGACGATCATTGATGAATTAGGCATTTTTTTTTAGCAAGAGAATTATCAAGTAATATCTGTTGTCTGTTGTTAATGTTGCCCTTAGTGGGATATTGGTGATCAAAGTTATGAAAATATTTCAGAATTGCCGCCTCTCAGCAATCAATTTTAAAATTCGTTGTGAATTTCTATTTCCACGAGCCAAATTCCCAGATGACGAAGAAGTGTTTAAAGCTTTTAAAAAAACATAAAGTTATTGGATGATGTTCTCAGTGCTTCTCTGTTCCCAGAAATGTTGCTAATTTATTGCATATTAGAAAAAAAAACAAACATTATGAATCCATCTTTTTTTTTTTTTTTTTTCATTATAATTTTATGAATAATATATGTATAAATTTTTGGTAATGAAAACAACTAACGTTATTACAAATAAATACTTAAGCGTTAAAAGCGACAAATAAAAATATAATCAAATTTGTTTGAAGTGCAATATTTGTTGAATAAATTAAAATGCAAACACTGTTTTAAAACAGTCCAAATGTTGATCTACAAAAAGATGCGCCAACATCAATTATCAACCATAAACTTTTGCCGATACATGTAAAAATTCAACAGCATACCCCATAGATCTGTTTTCAAAGCTACTGAAGGCAGTATTCTTGGGTGGTGTTCACTGTTCATTGTTTCAAAACTTTTTAGTTATACAACCTGAAGATATAATTATAGGTAATCGGGCTTATACAGAAACGTTTCTTTTCTTTCTACCAAATTCAGCAATTTTTGACGTTCATATAAAATAGTGCAAATATACGAACTGTTAAAGCGCAAAATACAAAGCAGAATATTGTTAAGTGGATCAAAATTTCAACAAATTTTTGCAACCTTTTAAACCCAAAATCAATAGCATTTTCAAAAGGAAGAATTCAACAGTTTTTGTTGCTATTATGCAGCAGAATAGAACTAATGTGTTGCTGTAAATAACTGTAAATTTATTGATAATAACTGCTGTTTCGGTGAGTGGTTTTAATACATCTCTTTATCAATAGCGTCTGGAGAGATTTGTTGGTTGAGGTGAGTAACAAAAATTTATATGAAATTTTG